GCAACGCAGCTTCAACAGGAGATGCAACAGCTCCTTGCGATAGGCCAGCAGGATAACAACCCCCTGCCTGCGCATAATAAGTGCAATAACCCAACTGAACACACAGCCTGCTCAGTAGTAGTGCTTCGCAAGGCCAGTGGTCAGCAACACTCAACCACTTAGTCGACATGAGGTACATCAGCCCCACAGTAGTCAGACCCGTCGTCGGGTCTCAGAACATAGTAGCACTGAAAGTTAGCACCCCGTCCAGGCAACTGTTGAGAACCACCAGCAACCATCGCAACCCCGGTCCCTAGCCACGGGATTACTCCGTAGCCTAATCCCGGTCAGTGTCGGATCGGATAGGCCGGCAGCTTCCCAACTCTTGACGCTGGCAGCATCCGAGTCCCCCAGTTCCAGCTCCCAGCGACAGCAACACTCCTTGCCGCCGCTATCCCAGCAGCAGTCTGCACAGCCCTGCGCCCGCCTCTCATAGCTCACGTACCGGTAAGCCTCCATCCGCCGCTGGTCTCATGCAGCTTCTCTCCGACTGTGCGAGCCTACACAGCCCAGTAGGCAAGTCCACCGTCCACTGCAACAGCCGGCCCGAGGATTAGCGGGCGCGGTACTCCGCAAAACAGCACCGGGACAGCCTGGCGATTAACAGCGCTTGCACCAGCGTTCAGCAACAGCACTTAGTAATAACACTGCGAGGCTTGGTAATGCTCACAACCCTCGTGCAGCACTACTTGACAGTGCGCCGCGGTACCGCCTGCCCAAGCAGACTCTACGTCTGCATGCCGTCCAGAACTTGGCTGGGCTGGAGTAAACAAAACAGCACGCCCCGATTCGATATGCAACAGCAAGCTTCCTCCCTCCCGAGCTGACGAGCAACGCATTACCTCCTGGTAAGTCTCCAATTGGCTGTTGTCCCCATGCTGCCACCCGTATGCGTAGCGCACCACTCGGCAGGTACGTCTCCCCTCCTACTTTCTCTCTCTCTCTCTCTCTCTCTCTCTCTCTCTCTCTCTCTCTCTCTCTCT